GCTGTTTAGCCGAAAAGCATCGAAAAGCTAAAGTTTGGGTCGGACCAGCTCACCAAATCACAGAACCAGGGATTGTTTGGGCCAGTTGGATTGAGATTCCATCTTCAGTGCATGTCACATTTCAACCAGGAAGAACCTGGATCTGTATAAGATCTGTATATATATATATATTACTGTTTTTATCGGTTACTCCCTTTCTGTATCGCGCATATCACCCTTTCCGACCTTTTTTGTTGCTACCAATAATATCGAAAGCACATCCAATGATATCCGACATGGGAGGTTTACCTGGGCTGGTTTTTTCCGTGTCAGCGACCGTGTCACATCGTCCAGTGGTTTGTTTTCGGTGGCAGAGAAAGGCCGTCTTCCAGGAATCCATGTGAAAATGGAAAGAAGTTCCAGGGGGCTATCAACGCCCCAAATCACCTCTCTAATGGGCCATCAATAGAAACCCCTGTTCCTTCTCCGCCGGGGTGAACAGGCAGGCAGCCCTGTTGAGCCAGCACAGCTTCCTGTGATTCTGCCAGGGGGCCGCAGGCTGCTGGTCGCATAAAAGCTCCAGATGACCAATACAGCAAAGGTCAAGAAAGTGAAGGGGAAGATCATGGGAAGAAGACCCAAGCCTGGATGCTGGTCGCTGTCTCAGCCCGGCACCAGAAAACCACACGAGACGCCCTTTTTTGTGATGATATCAGCTTTCCATGAAAGCTCCCGCACCTCACCTGGGGTAGATGAAAGCTACCTGGTCCTCAAAACCCGCAATGGACTCCCCAGCTGCCATGCTCCGGCGAAAAACCATCCTCCCCCAGTTCGCAGGTGTGGCCGTAAACGTCGCCATGGCCGGAAGGGACCCGCCGTGACCGTCACTCTTCGCTTTTGTTGGCGCTTGTCACATCCTCCCATGCCAGGTCTGTTAGCTGCCTCATAAGATTCTAGGACAAGAAAGTGAAGTGAGCATGTCTTCTTTTTCATCCAAGCTCCTACGGAGACCCAGCTGTTCATCGCCAGGATGCAGCACCAACAAAGAAAGACTTGCAAAGAAGCTCCAATGAGCGTGGGCCGTGGGTACAGGAGAACCTGAGCGAACGTTTACGGCTGGCCAGTTGGACTTTGGGAGGAGGCAGTTCCTCAATTCTGGTCCAAATTCAGCGTTGCCAAACCCCAAACAAGCTGCCCCTGGATGCTTCTTGAGCCTCGCGAGGCACCAAGAGGGAGAAAAGCCAAGCCAACCCCGATGTTTCTGGATTCAACATCCAGCAGTTCCAAGGAGGTGCGATCCATGGAGGTAGTCGGGGTGCCCAGAACATCCTCTCACTGGATGGAACTAAACACCACCCCTTTGTGACTCCTGGATGAAGATGATCGATTGATGTTCTCCTATCTTCCTCGGACCTCCGTCCATCGTCGTCACCCGCCGCCTTGAAAGCGGCGGGTAAGCGCGTTACCGGCGGCCTCGGAGAGAGGGGCCATCGTGTTCCAGCTTGCGGGTGGTGTGCCAGCTGCCTGTTCGAGCTCCCATTCCCCCTTCGCCATGGCTTCCACAGGCCGCCACTCCCCCGAACCATGCCGAACCCGACTTCCGCTGGAGGTGACCTGAAAATTGCTCCAGGTGACCACTCCAAAGATGAACGCCAAGCCCGAGGACTTGAGCTTTCCAGCCAGAAGCGTGGGCATGCAGTGCCTGAGACTTCAGATGTGGAGCGAAAAAGAACTGCGATCGTCATCGACTTCATCTTCTCCTCCAGCTTTGGGCCAATCATCATGTGAATCTTCGGACCCCTACGTCCGAACCCCCCCCGGGGACCGCAATACACGACCCCATCCGCCATATACGGACGAAACCGGGAAGAGTTTAGGGATACCTTCGTCCGGTCCCCACGAAAGTGATTCTGCACCACGACAACCCGATCAAACGAAAACCCATCGACCAACCCGGTCTTCGGATCTGTGAAACAGCCTCTCTCGAACCAACCCTTTAGGCCTTCGGCTCTGGGTGCGCCGTTCAGCGTGCGCCGCCGCCGGCAAGGTGCGGTGCCCAAGGGTTCGGTGCCCAAGGTGGTCGAGAGAACCCCCCCCCTCCCTGGAGCTCAGTGCAGTGCGGCATCGCCCCTTTTTTGCCCCAAAAAATGCGGCATGAAAGGGCCTGGTCTCCGAAAGCCACTAGCGGTGGATAAAGCCGGATGCGTTTCACCGAATTGGAGGGTCGGAGGACCTACACTGTCTGTCGCATGGGGTCGGACGTCTTGATTCTTTTCAAGTAGTTTTGGACCAATCTTTCTATGGAATGGTGGCCTCCCTTCAGTGCCATTTCCGTGCTGGATCAGTTCGCTCTTTTCGACCTCCGAGTCTGGTGGAACTCCCAGGTACGCACATCTTGCGATCCACCAGCTGGTCGGCTCACGCCCATTTCTGTCGGGTACGAGCGGCGGTCTTGCGTGTTCTTCCCCAATCAACAAGTGTCCGATAGGGTACGACCAATGGTGTCTTGTCTGGCCTTCGCTTGGAATACTCCTGTGACGCCTGTGTTCGATGGGGTGCCCTCACCTGTGCCGCTTTTTCCAGGAGTTGGTACCAGTGATTCCCCTTAGTTGCTCAGCTACTCGCTTGCATATTTTCGGGTTTTCGCAGTATCCCCCCTGCCCTGCCTAGCAACAAAAAACGAATGTGTCCTTTAGACGGTTTTCCAGGAAGTGTATGTGTTGGTCGATTCAAAGAGAAACTGGTCAAGACTAAGTCAACCCTGCCTGTAGTGATCTGACTCATGAACTACAGTAACTACAGGTGTGGTACTGGTATCATCTGGTATCAGCTTTTACAAGTTTTTGGTGTTCTGGGCACTGTACCACAGAGCCGCCCACGAATTGGTGACATTCTAGGAGTGTTTCAGCTCCAAGTTTGCTTGTCAAAACCCGATTCTTGCGAAACAACAAAAGTCGCATAAAATAGCATTTGACCCTGTTTTCCAGATTTGAGATCGTTTTGGTGAACATTTTCTCTGAGAAAAGCCGGGCCTCGCAAACAAATCAAAGTACAAATTTGATCTGAACTACTCGACATCATGCCCACCTAGCCTTGTACAAGTGAGTCTTTTTGAAAGGCAAACTGTCCAGGTAGATGAAACCCCATCCGAGCCCGAACCATTTTGGACATTTATGGACAAGGTCCCCATATCAGCTCGGATCGTTGTTTCTGAGGGGTTGCACCATCTCTAACAAATCCAAGTCATCGTTCTGGTCTGTTCTTTCTGCTATCCAAAGACGTGGCGTGGCTAACAACCAAACTACCAAGCCCGCAACGAAAGGACCTCTGCTTTGGCCAAAAAAGTGCTTGTATATGTCTGTGGTATAGGCATGTATAGGTTGCCAAAATGATGGGTGATCTGCGACCACCGATGAGCGGGTTCAGCTAGCTGACTCCCATCATTCAGTTCGCTGACTCAAGTCCCTCGAGTCAAATTCCCCGCGCGGGGCTCAAGGCTAAGGGCAGCCACCCGCAGAAGAAACACCATCAGAAAGCGGCTAGCCGCTTGTGACCATGGCATTCTTTTCAACTGGGTCTGTTCCACACACGGTGACGGCAAAACTGGTCTTCTTGTGAAGACATTCGGGATGAGATTACGTCCGTACCGCAGGTCCGTTCTTCTCTTCCTCGGTGGCATGAAACATCGATCAGCCTGGAGAGAAGCGACCCCAATTTGCTCAACTGCTGTATGGAAGTACATGGCCCTGGGTACGTCTCCCAACCTTCCAACACCCTTCTTTGGGCATCAGGCCACTCTCACCAGTGCCCGTGGGTCCAGCGGCAGATGAGGCCTGTCCGACTCTTAAGGGAACGAAGATCGGACCAGATGGAGTCTTGGTGTTGACCACCACCCCAGGAATTTGCTTGGACAAATAAAAACAGCAAACAGTCTAACAGTCTAAACATGTTCACTGTCCTGTTGAACCATCCTCTCCGAAAACGCCCGGGACCCAAGAAAACCTCTCACTTTTGGATTCAACAAGGCGAAAAATCCATATCCAAAATGATCCAAGCATCCTTGGCATCCTCACCAGTACCCCCCCACCCTCTGCCTCCCCGCATCTCACGCAAGGGATCTCACAGGGGTGGTGGCCTCAACGGCAGTTCAGACGCGCGGTGCTCTTAACTGAAAGGTAGGAGCGAATTCCATCAGCACACAAGTGGTCGTGAACATGTGCATCACACCAACGTGGCAGTGGACATTGGATGAAACTGGCCTGTGGGAAAGCGATGTTCCTCTGCAAAAAAACACGGTGGTGTCCAGCTCCTTGTGAGTGACTCGGAGTGTTTTTGGCAGCAAATGATGGCCATCTTTCTCAGGCTCCTTTAGAGGTCTGTTCGTGACCCGAATGCTTTCATGACCCAACTCTACGAGAGCGGTACAGATGGGTTGACCGAACTCTGGAGGACAGATGGTTGTTCGTGGAGGACACCGGCCTCTGTCTGCTGGCCCAATGGAAGAGCTGAAGGCCTGGGCCTCCGCGGTGGAGCTGAGAGGTCGAACAGGCCACCAAAGCCATCCAATCCATCAAGAATAGAAGGAACGGAAACAAAGCCATCCAATCCAATGGGTATATATACATCAGCTTCAGTGTTTTGAGGAGGCAGCTAAGACAGGTCTGGAGACGTCTGGAATACATGACACATGCAGATACAACGACCTTACGCCAAAATAGGTCTCATCAACCCTTGAAACCCAACAAACCAGCCAGCCAACCAACCAACAGACGAATCAAACAAGAAAATCTACAAAACCTACTTGACCCATACAAAAGCAAATCTGCTTCGTCGTCTGCTACTGGAACAACAAAACAGCGCCTCAAAGCCAAGATCGGAGTCACGTCGCTCGCCCCTGTCTGTTTCCACCACTGCAACCATCCAAACCCCGACCGAGAATCGATTTCACTGCGAATTCCATCAGCACACAAGTTCGTTTCTTGGAACGTTCCTCCCCGCTGCGGGAGCGCAGCGCCTGGTTGCTAATCACCGTCCTCCTCCTCGTCCTGCAGCGCCCCCTGCCGCTCCTTCGCAGCCCTAGGCTGCTCCGCATCGCCCGAGCGAGAGCCACAGCGAGCGGTGTAGGGGGGGTCCCGAGCGAGAGCGCTTGACCCATGTCCAACCCTCACAGACTCTAGACACCATGGTGACTTCCTATAGATTTGGAGGGCCAGAAAGAAAAGAACACATCTGTGATCCTTGGATCAAAAGTTGCCAGACCACGGTCAAGCAACAATAATTATGCTGCTGTCGTTAGATCCAAACCCGACTCATTCAAAACCGCGTTGAAAGAATCACGTCTGCCTTTCAACGGATGGGTTTCATGGCTGATGGGGTTCAAACTTTTGGAGCTTCTTAGTTCATCCCACGAGTGTTTTTTTCCCCATGTGAAAGTCTTGCTGACTCCAGTCGAGGTGGTCATTGGCAGCAACAAATCTGGGCCAAGGAACATATAGAAATGATCATCCAAAGAAGGGAGTAACAGCGATTTGGGGTTCCTGCCATGAAAAAGTCACTACACCACTTCTTCGTTTGGGGCGACCCTCCTTGATCTCTGCCGTTACATGGTGTCTTACAGTTTTTCCCCTTTTGATCGCGCTCTCTCGCCGATGAACGTCCACGTCCAAGGGTCATGAAGACCTCAGCTTTCGAGACGTGCGTCTCATCCCTCACAATGACCAGCGCCAGCAGCGACGACATGAAGAGGTCCTCTCTTTCAGCGAAAACGGTCACCCGAGGTCCGGACGAACGAAAAACAAAAAAAACGGCGCAAGCGGACAAGGTGATGGAGAGCGGTTTGGACTCGAAGTTGGAAGAGAAAAATGGAGGGGTTCACCATGGTTCACCTGAGTTCACCCTGCAAATTACGGATCTTTTGGAGAGATCATAATATGAGATCATTGCCTGGGTTGTTAAGAAGTAACTACTGGAAGATCATTTTCCTCCACAAGTCATTGGGCTTAGAGATCTACTCTGTGGGAGGCATGTTCGTCCGCCCCAAGCAGGATCGGAACGAGGCCCTGAAGGATATGCAGGGGCGAGCTATAGTCCCGCCTTGCAAGAACGCATTGAGTTCAGCCCCTGAATTCAAAGCTGTGGTTCTTCAGGACAACTTTCGGCTTCAGAAAAAAACCGGTGATACTGGGTACAAATCACATAGGGCATAGGAATTAAAGCGTTTTCTACATCCCCGTGTCATCCAAAGGTAGTAAAACTTTCTCCGCTGACCAAAGAAGACAGCACGCACTCAAGAACCTTCGCGCCCCGCAGTCTCCATCAACGCATAGGTGCACATCTGGCTGGCTTGTGAAAAATAGCCCGAATAGCCTGCAGCCGGTCAGGTGTTTGTCAGCGATTTTGGGTGCTCGGCACTCGGTACTGATTTTCTAACTAAGTTCGTTTTTTCTTTGCGCCTTGTAGCGGCCTTCAGATGAAGGTCTTTGGTCAACTGCTCAACATGTTTCACATGGAGTGCTCATGGCTGCTAACCTTGGCGTCAAATTTGTTGCAGATTTGATGGAACAAATTGGCCGGTGCCATGTCCTCCTTCCATTTTGTGGTGATATCCTGATTTCAGACAAAGGCTGCGCAACTGGGGAAACGCGCCTGTGGGTGTGGGGGGTGATTGGTTGAAGGAATGGGTCCAAATGATACCCCGTCATAATAGAGCGGAGGTCAACATATAATATATTATATGGCACATTCACTCCAGGACTCCAGTGAATGGTGATGGTCACAGCACCCGTGTTTGACAACGCCAGCCACATAGTGAAATAGTTGCACACGAGCAGTGAGAGTTTGAAACTTATGGGACTAGGAAGGTGAAGTAAGGGCAAAGTAGGGTTGTTGCTTGAAAACCGTCAATGAAACCCTTCTGCAAGCGGCAAACTTAACAGCAGGATATTTGGCGTCACCTTGGGTTTGATGATGTCGGTTTGATGATGTGTCGGTTCTTCCGGACCCCGCGAACGCGCCTCCACCCCGTGTCACTTGATGATCCATCGTTTGTCTGGCTTGTCCGGCCAGGATCAAACACCAGACTGGCCGTCAGTCCAACAGCTGTGCTGTTGGCGTCGTTTGGCGCCAAGGGGCCCACGGACTGCACAATGGGATGCAGAAAAACACAGCAGAACAACAGGTCAAGGCCTCAACGGATGGTGACCGGCGGTACCGAAGTCAGGGCATTGCATCGATGGTGAATATGGCAAGGAGGAGTTACACTCTCCCAAGAGCCACGAAAGTTCAAACAAATCTTTGTGGGGCGTCTGCCCTCTTGTACAACACCCTCCCACATGGAAATGCCCCAACCTTGGAACTGAAGTGGATGGCATGGCCGCTTGGACATTGGAAGACCGGATTTCAATCCGAAGCACGGGCGTCTTCCGGGGTTCTTCTTTCGAAAGCATCTTAGTTCCAGGGAGAGATCTGAGGCCCCAAAAAATGTTGGATGTTTGTCAAGAAGCTCAAAAGAGAGGTCAGACGTGGTGGGAAAAAGGGGTCTGATATGTTCAGAATAGTGGGCCCATCACTGGTCAGATGGGCATTGGCTGTTGGATTTTTGGATCCCAAAAATGCTCGATCTGAACTCGTTGGAGTGACAATTTCAACGAGTTGCGATGTCCTCAGAAGGGTGCAGACGTTGCTTCCTGCTGTGGTTTGGCCTGCTTGTGTCACCCGAAGGGTGGAGACGCCAAAATCACATGGACCCTCCACCTCTTAAACTGAAAATGCCCAGGGGCCCTAAATTGAACATTCCGTATGATTTCAACGGCCCAAATCAAAAAGGAAAAAACGGCTAAGCTGACCTGTTTCTCCAGCACACCGGTCTGCGGGGGGCTCCAATTGGAGTAGATCCCGGCGAATGCAGTCGAACGCAGGCCCCCCTCTCTGGTGAAAATCAAAGCGAACCTAACCCACTCCAGTGTGGTCAAACCAGACTTGGTTAAACGCACGAGTCACTTTGTCTGACCAGCTTGCTGGGGCGCAGTGGAACCCCGAGTTCCCAATCATTCAATTTCAACCCAAGCGTCAACGTTTGTGCCTTTGCGACCAGAATTTGCTCCTGGGCTTCAGTGTCTCTCAAGCTCAGTCTTCAGTGTCGTCTGCAGCTTCCAAGTTGTTCATCAGGTTTCATCAGTTCCTTCTCCATGATCTCCTCAACCACCTCGTCCGCCAGTTGATGTTGTTGTTGTTGCTGTTGTGGTGGTGATGGTGGTGGTGGTTGCTTGCTGTTGGTTGCTGTTGGTTAATGGTCAGTTGTTGGTTGGTTTGCAATTTTTTGTTTCCACAAGCAGTTTACTGTTTGGGTTCTTTCTTATAGAAGACGCTGGCCACGGTCTCTTGAACCTTGTGTCCGGGCGTTGTCCTCCTGCTGTCTCCTTCTTGTCTTCCAATTGTCCTGGTGTTGTCCTACTGCTGTCCTCTGGCCGTGCTCTGGCGAACCCTGTGTCCTTCTCCCTCTGGCCACATGTCCTTCTCTTGTCTTCCTTGTGTCCGCCTGCTGTCCTCATGGCAACGCCTCTTGTTCCACAAGTGCTGGGGTTCTCTCAGGAAAACAGGGCTGGCCACGATAGCCGTGGCCGCAGCCCTCTTATGCCGTGTCCCGGCCTTTTCCCGCTGCTTGGCCATCAGGGTGGGTTTTCTTGTGGTTATTAATGCAACAGTGATGCAGCGTTTCAAGTTTCAAGTCTGGTATCATCCTCAGATTGTCTCCAACAGGAAAGTGACCCAAACAAATCCTGCTGAAACTGTTTGGGGTCTACGCTGGTGTTTGCTTGCTTGCTTGCTTGGTTTGTTTGTTTGCTAGTTAGCTACCTAGCTAGTTTGTTAGTTACTTAGCTAGCTAGTGCTTTGTTTGTTTGGTCATGCTGCTCACTCGTTGCAAAACCCCGCACCCCCACAGGTTGCTTGTTCAGCCATGTAACATACAAACTGTCGCACTCACTTTTT